AAGGAGTTACCCAAAGTCTCCTTCGTTCCATCTCCTTCCCATCTGACGTCATAATTCGCCATTTCATAAACTACTCCGCTGGTGTACCATCGGTATCTCAAGAGAAATTTTGATAATTTTCAACAAATGTTTTAACATGAATGATGCCTGTAATATTACTGAATGACATTTCAATTGCATAATTTGAAATATAAAAAGCTTACATTGATACGTCATTGTTTAATAGCCATTGCCCAATGAAATTATGCTCTGGAAGTGTATTCACGCTCAGCAGCTGAGCACCATTTGCCTGTGAATTAACATTTATAGATATTATGATTCTTGGTCTGCGTATTGAGGTTTTTATATATATATATATATATATATATATATATATATATATATATATATATATATATATATATATATATATATATATTGGGGATGCTCACTTCTTCATGACACCTAATACCACCTCTGATGTTTTGGAGATATGTGTTTGCTCAGCTCCTATTTTGTACTGTTTAGTTGACTTTGGAGCTCGAATACTGTTCGTTATCTCCACACATTTAATTGTAAGAAAACTTAATCCAGTATTTTAGATTATGAAATATGCTTTGATATGTTCAGCATGCTAATTTTACCATTATTAATTGTAGACTATTATTTAGAGAATTAATAAATTTTTCTGATTTTTTAAAAAAAATTTGTTTTGATTAAATCACGATACTTACGCCACATGCGGTTTTTGCATCATTATATGACCGATATGGATAAACATTGAATTGGTAACAGTGAGTGTCGAAGAAGACCCAGTCGTCGGGGCAATCTGAGTTGTTAAGGAAAATACAACTTCGAGTCAACAAATACAAGTAAGGAATAATCCAAGAAAAGATAGGCCTATATCAAGAAACACTCTTAATATATACATATATTATAATAATCATAATAATATTTTGCATAAATTAATCTTATTTTTACCAATATTCTGATATGTTAATATAAAGTACAAAATGGAAAATGTTTATTTCGATTTTTATATCATAAATACGTACTAAACCATTGTGAAAAGACTCCCTGTATAAATACATGTAGAAGTAGAGGCAGAAATTTCTTCCTGAAATTATGAAATCATTGCAGGTATTTTATTTATTTTAAAACTATGTGATTGTACATTGAAACATATATGTATACTTTAAGTGTCCAAGAAACTATTTATAGATTTCTTGTGAATTATTAAATTATTTCAACAAAGTAAGAGTTACCACTGAATGATAAAGGCAACTATTAACACTGTCATTACAATTAAGTCAGTTTTAACGTTAATATTTCCATAAAAATGGCTACTTGCCTCATTGTGTTTCATTTCCTGACATCTCAAAGCTCTACACGAGGACATTCAATTTATTGTTTTACAACACATCATAAAAATTTGTCATCGATTCAAACCGACAGACATACCCGTTAAAGTATTCGTGTCCATATCATAAATTAAGTGTTTATGACTTCTTGACAAATCAATAGATTATGATATTGAAAAGAAAAGGCGGGATAATTTTGAAATGACTATAGATTTAAAAATAGAAAATTATTCATCCTAAGAGGGCAAACAAACTTTTTTTTTCAAATTGGCCTTGCTGCAAAAATAATACGAAATTATTCAAAAATATGAACATGTTTCTGCCAAAATGAAAAAAAAAATCTTGTCACACATGTTAAGGACATCAGTCTAAACTTCGTCGTTCTTCTATAGATCAAACATTTTTCGGAAGATTAGTAAGGTACTTGAAAAAAATGTAACTTGCAAAAAGAGTAAAGGGAACAGTTTCTCGCTAGGAAACGTTGGGATTTTTTTTTCACCTTTTAAATCGCCCTCGGAGTAAAAAAAAAATAATTCTGAAAAAAAAATTATTGCTCATCTCGAAGACATCAAGAAAACGAAACCAATCAAATTTCAAAATATGAATAGGCTACTGAGAAAAATGAGTTTAAAGAACTAGTATTTTAATTGGAAAATTAAGTTAAAGTGAACTTTAAAGTAAAATTAAATTTTATTATTTTCCCTCGCATACTCATATGTATTATCCCGCAATATGACAAAAACATCATCTTCCAGCCTCCCTTTGTTAAGACTTACTGAGTAGGGAGCAATATAGACTCAATTTGGAGCGATTTTGTGCTTAAAATAATGGATGTTATATGATTTCATTTGAAGAGAAGATAGTTAAAGTAAGGTCCGTTGAATTAAACATGCTGTAGACAGACCAAAAATAATATATAGTGTAGTTTCCCACAAATATTCAAGATGGCGACTTTGACGATCCTTGTTATATGTATTATTACAGTAAGGAAATATCTTTTATTAATGAAGATAAATGTTCAAAACTTCAAAAATATGTGGTTCAAAATTCAAACTGACATTATTTGAAATAACGAACTTTATGTTAATATATGGAATTTCTCTTTAGTTTATTGGCTGTGCAAAGAACATCAGACTGTTGGAAACATTTGATACTGTATCAATAATGGGCGTCGCCCGTTATGCAAATTACAAATATACAGCGTTACCAACTAGCTTTGATGCTCTGGCATATCAAAAAAAAAGTCACTGATTCTTTAAATAAATTTACTTTTTGACTTAATTGCACAGAAGTACGTACACTGGAGTGCCTTTTCAAGCAGGCTGCAGCACTAGTTTAGTTTCAAATTCTTATGTTTTGTTGTTTCCTTACAGTTCAAAATAATTGTTGTATTCGTAAACTTAAGAATTTTGTAAATTTATTATTATGTAAAAATATTTGATATTGAAGTAAATTTGATTTTTTCATCAACGAATATTTTGGTTTGCGAAAGAATAATATTCACATGTTTGCTTTATTAGCTCAAATATTTCAAAAACTTTGTTGTTAGCTTTATGTAACATAGCTGACAAAGTAAAAGAGTACATGTATTTAGAATGAGACCAGAAACCTATAAAGTAAAACTGACTATACTGTATTTTTTAGCTCTACTGGTCAGAGACCAGAAGAGCTTAATTATGCATTAGTAATGCGTCCGGCGTCCGTCTGTCTGTCTAACTGTCTGTCCGTCTGTCTGTCTGTAAACAATTTTTCAAAATGCTATTCCTCCTTCAGTTTTGGTCTGATTTCAATATATAACTTGGCACACAAGTAAACTACAATAAGATACATAATTCTGTATATCGGTTTTTGATTTCGATGATTGGTGCGGCCGTGGTTACTAAAAACTAGAAATTTCTGTGAAATTGTTTCAAGATGCTACTTCACCTATAGTTTTGGTCTGATTTCAATATAACTTGGCAGACAAGGAGACTACACTAAGATACATAATTCTCTTTATCGGTTTTTGATTTCGATGAACGGTGTTGCCATGGTTACTAATAAAAAAGGAATTTCTGTGAAATTGTTTCAAAATGCTACTTCTCTTTACAGTTTTTTGTTTTGATGAACGGTGTTGCCGTTTCAATATAACTTGGCACACAAATTGTAAAATGCTACTACAGTTTTGTTCATTTCAATATAACTTGGCACACAAGTACAATTCGGTGTATCGGTTTTCGATTTTTATGAACGATATTGCCATGTTTACTAAACATAGAACTTTCTGTGAAATACTTTCAAAATACTACTCCTCCTACAGTTTTGTTCTGATTTCAATATAATTTTGCACACATGTAGACTACACTAAGATACACAATTCTATTTATCATTTTTTGATTTCGATGAACATTATTGCCTTGGTTTCTAAAGATAGAAATTTCTGTAAAATACTATCAATATGCTAACCCAAATACAGATTTAGTCTGATTATTATATAACTTGGCACACAAGTAGACTACACTAAGAACATAAAGAGACTTAATCAAGGATCATTATTCTATTTATTGCTGTTGTAAAGTTTCAATTCCCAACTGCTTCTTTTTCTTCCTTTGCTATAAGTAAAAACCAGTAGAGCTTCAGTCTCGACAGAGACTTTTGGTTACATTTATCTGATTGATATAAGGAAAAATATCGGAAATTAAAAAAGAGATTATTTACCCTTCCTTTTTAAAAAAGTTGCCCAAATAAAACGAGAACGTTACACTGAGGATTGTCGTTATTGATACCTTGTGTTCTACATGTTAATCCACTAAAATGTATGTTTCTTTTAAAATCTTTTAACATAAATAATTAAACATGTTGATTGTGTCCAATAAACAACCTATGACATAAATTAACTTGAGAGAATATGTGTTTAAAGTCCCTTTTAACAACTTACATGCAGAAGTTTCCAGCGGGCAAATGTAGGCAGACATATACTGCAGTACATTAACGAATAATGATGTTTGGAATAAATATGTTTTATTGTTTTTACTAATCAGCTTTCCAATTAATTTTAAAGTAAGTGCTTATAAATGAAAGTTTCTAAGTTCTGCTCGGTTCCACTAAACGTCTATGTACGCACATTTCGTATGCAGTTTACAGGCTTCTATTGATATCTAGCAAATGAAACATCTTTTAAACTGGAACATAATAAAGTGAACACGAGTAAAAAAAAAATCCTATCGTGTCGATTTTCAAAGACAACTCAGCAGAGGTGCAGCCAAACTTTTTCAGGTAGGAAGACAGGTTACGCGTAATTAAAATCAATTTCCGAAATTTTAATATATCAGTTTATGTCTAATAGAGGTTGTTATCACACTTCATTGTAAACACCTGTTTTCACATTCAATTACGAGTACGTATAATATAACCACATATAAAACCAACAATTTTATTACAAAATTCTTTCTGGATTTTATTAGATTACAGGAATAGTTGTGTATCCGTAAAAAGTTGTCTTTGTTCAAAAATTCAATGCCGTGGAAATTTCAAATTTTAATAAAGTCGTAAAGTTTTCAATTGTGGATTTTGATCTTTATCACATGAATGTTTTGTGAGCCTCTTTAAAAGAAGATGAAAAATAAACGATAATTAACTATTGTCAGGTGCGCTGTGCATATATTTCGAAAAAAAAATCCGGATACATCTCGGATGAAGTTGAGAGTTTTTTGCTGACACTGAAGGGGAACTGAGGTTAGAATGAAGATGTAACTGATACGTGTATATGACACGGGGATGATTGGCGAGAGACAGTAATAAAAGTTACGACTTTACCCGTCAAATTGCGTAAGCGTTATGAACCACTTAACTTACATTTTATTTCTGCGACGACTGTGAAATATCAACCGTTGGGAGGCGTTTTGGATTTACCTCTGTTAAATTTAAGGAATTTTACGAGAGGAACCGTGATTATCGGGTTCTATAAATGTATTTGTTGGTTTCATTCATTCGGGATTTAGTTTTATCAAATCATTCAAGGTAAGATTTTTTTTCCGTTTATTTATTCTCAAAAAAGATATCTTGTTTCTAAACTTGAATGCAAAAATAATACATGCTTTGCACAATATTTAAAAAAATCAGATAAATTTTAAATCGAAAGTTACGTCCCATGTGCAAGCTTAGTGTTTGTGTAAAAATTTAATCATCCTTATCTTGGAAAAAAGTATCACCAAAAAAATGATATGGACCTACAACATGTAAAAGAAGAAGGCTTTGTAATATTTTTGATATTGATTAAATTCCAAAATTCCTGAGACAACCTCTTCAGATGTCTTTAGTATTGAATACGATGTTTTAATATACGTATTTGTCTATCCACTTTTCCTAGAATACTTTTACACCTTAAGAATAATACATCTTGAGCAAACATTGAGTGTTGGTTTTATATCATCACTTAAAACGAAATCCGATATGAGTTAACATGTGTTGAGATTATAACATTCCAAAAATTACTATTCACACATGATAATGACTACTGTCCTAATTCCACATTCATGATCCCAAGATACCCGAATTAATTCGGATGACATTGCGTCCCTTTTTGCTTTATATCTTTCTGCATTGTCACCGTTTATGTGCATATGGTTAAAGGTTTTAGATAAAATGAGATAGGGGTGGGTGGAAATTAATAATTTCAGCCCATTGACAGGGTGTAGACGCATGTTGTCACCACACGATGACAAGTCTTCAAACTGATAAGGGGAAACATTTGAAAAATACAAGTCTTAGTCAAAAGTAAACTAAAGGTGATAATATGATAACGGTGTGGTGATTTGTAGGTGCAAGTGTCAGATACATCTAAATTTGTTTAAAGAGACTGATTCTCTATGTACATGTAGATGTGAACTTTATTGTTTAAAAAAAGTTGACTTTTTTTTTTTTTGCATTTTTTTTAAACTCACAAGAAAAATATTGATAAAAGCAACAATTCTTTAAGTCTTGATTTGAAGAATGAATTACTCGTTCCTTTTAGTATGTGATTAATAAAATTTAATTCTTGTATAAATTGGAAGCCATAGATTTTGCACTAATTTAAGATATGATAATCATTCTAAATATGTTTATTCTTTTAAACGCTTTTAGAACCATGTGCTAAAATGACTATTGGAGCATTGACTTCTTCTGAAGTACCTTTCAACCCAGCCAGATAACGCTGTTCTGCCCCGGGTTGATAGATTCGCTTCCTTTATTATGTGTCAAGATCATCGTTTTATACAGAGAAACAAATGTTGTCTTGACAATATCATGGTCTTTGTTTCTTTTGGCAAGGTCGCTCTTTCTGTGAATGGTGCACTCTCATTGTCAATGTCACGTTGATCAATTTTTCCATGCCATTATAGTTTAAAATGGTTGTCCGATTATCTGCTGTGCACATAAACAGGAAATATGAATGGCATATTTTATTCTGGAAAGGCATGTTAATTACATTGCGAATTTTTTCGAGTAAATATTGATAGTATTTGATATTTTTACCCAACAGGTATTTGTGTATTAAATGCAGTAAAATACTTGATGCTTTATTATTCTAATTTTCACTAACAACTTGAAAGAGAAAAATCTCTTCTTAAACTTAAAAATTACTCTTAACCACGTTAAAAATCCACTTCCACCAATACAAGTGTACGTATACAATAGCGCGAGGACATTTTTGTTGCAACAGCTATTAGTCCCTGTATAATTAACGTGAAAGTTAACCTGTAATTTAGTCTGGCGATCCGTAATGATAAACCTTAGCAATCTTTCCCCTTCTGAGGCTGAAGAGGTTAAGACGAACCAGGTATGTCAACCTGGGGTATACTTATAAGAAACTCTATCATTGCTGAGACATACGAGCTCCACCGACGACAATAAAGAACTGCATCGACAATCACTGACACCTCTCTGCACATGGCCAAATCTCGTCTAAAACTAGGTATTGAAAAAATAAGGCAAAATTATTTTTTTTTTTCAAAGCAAAAAAGCTCATCTTCGCCTTAAGAAGAACTTGTTCACAGCAATTTAGGAATTAACATATATATGCAAGCAATTTTATTAGGAAAGTAGATCAATGGATTAATATGAAAACCTGTCCCCTTGGGAAAGGTACATTTTTTGTTCTTGAAACATATAAAAGATTGTGCCAGTTTCATCATTCACTTCATTTTGGAATCGCAGGTAAGTAAATTTTGTGTATGTGTATACCATGTTCCCATCGTTTAGTAATTTTATACTATTTTCATTGTCAAATTGAGCATCAATATGCATGTTTTGGTAATGCTGTGAAAATTAGGGGGTATATTACCAATTCCTGGAACCTTTAGAAGAAGATCCTTTGGCATTTGATTAATCTTAAAACAATTTTCTCCCACATTTCAAAGTCTTTCTTTTGCTAATTTATGTATCACATGAACCGTTATAATTCGCTTTTATTCAAGATATTAAAGCATCTTCCGCTCAAGGCTTTGTAATGTTGCTCTATCAGTGCAAGCATTTGATTCTTCAACTTTTTGTCTTCTATCAACCTTTTCGTTTTCAAAACATAAAAACAAATGTATATCTAACTTGCATGTAGTTAAATCTTTTATCGTAATTTGTGCAGTTCTCTTTCCTTCTTCTCGGTGCAGCTTTATATTTTTTGTTTTAATCTCTTTTCGATTTCTAGAAATCGAGCATTTTTATTTCTTACAGTTAGAGAAGAGATTGGGATAATTGGCTCTTTATCCTCTGTGGGTCCTTATCTTTCCTTCAGACCTGTTAGATCGTCATCTGTCTTACAAACTTTATTTCTTTTTCCCCTGCTGTTTTCATTTTTGATTATTTTTATTTAGATCTGAGATTAATTTGCGGTGACATTAAGAATGTATGTCTACTAATACACGGATCGCCAGATATTTCAAATCCGCACACGAACATAAACATGATATTTTTTACTAGTATAAAATATTCCGAACGCCATCAAAGTGCATTATATATTCTTTTTCAACATAGGTTTGTGTTGCCAGTCTAAATCGCTCAAAAGACATCTTGAAAATAATATTGCTGTTGTGAATTATTAAAAGACTTAATTATTGCAAGAAAATATTAATTCCAAAAACAAAATAGAAAGCCAAAATATTTTGTCATTCTGGGTCGAAACCTTTGCATACTGGAAAAGTTGAACTTGGGCATTTCACCAGAAGAGTGTCATTTGTTCCAATCTCTTCACCGTTTTTCAAAGGTCATCATCCAACTGTAATATATATACACAGCTGTCAAAAAATTGTATATTCCTCAATCTTCACATTACAGAGGTTAAAACGGGTATAAAAATGGCGCTGGATAATATTTCATCATCTTACAAAATTTACATGAGTACCATTTAATGTATTCAGGTTTTGCAGACGATCATAAAAATTAAAATTGATGTGCCTGCATCCTTTATGTATAACATGATTGTAACCCTATGTCTCAAGAGTCGTGAAAGGAATCTCGGCTTTTATGTCTTGTGCAATTCATAGCCTTATATATCAGACTGAAGATACATCTCATATCATACAATAAAACATAATTTATGGGAATCTGATTTTTAATTGACATTAATGAGTTTTAAATAAAGAATGTTATTTTTAACAAGTTCTCTGGTTCTCACTTTTTTTAAATATTGTGTGACTTTTCCCCTCGTCCTTTGGTATACGGCAGTCGTAAAACCTTGTTTGCTTCGTTGCTCAAAGTCTTACCGTTGGAAGATAAAATCGTCATATTGTGACAATATAAGTGAACTTCATTGCTAATTTCAGAGTCGTTATGTTATGTGATATGACCTTAAATCAATGTTAAAAAGGGGAGATAAAAGAGGCTTATTCACAGATAATTAGACAATGTTCACAATTTGGAATAAAATTAATAAGCATCCATTTTAAACGACGAGAAAAACCTCTAAGACATAAAGTGAAATTCTAAACTGGTATTACCGCCTGTTGGCCTTTGTATTCTTTCCTAGGTGTGCAATTACATGTAACAACTAACAGTTGTTCAACATTTTGGTTTTTAAGAAGCGCTTAAGACTGTGCTTTGATGTAAATTGTTCACATTGTTGTATTTTATAAGAATAAATTTTATAGCTTCTCAGTTAGAACTTTACTTGCCTTGTCTCAACATTTCCTCAAATGGAGCCAACGGGTTACAAGGGGCTTCAGCACTTCAGTAGCATTTAATGCCTATCATCCTAAATGGATGACGAATTACGGGGAAATCAAAAGAAACAACCTTATTGTTTTTAATCTTTACATACATACTGAAATCAACAGAAAATGATACTTACTTTTAAACATTCTATTGGGAATCATATCCGAGCACTGGCATCTAAGTTGTAATAAGCAAGTGCTAAATTTATAATGAGTCCGTCCGTCTGTCTGTCTGTCCGTCTGTCTGTAAACAATTTTTCAAAATGCTACTCCTCCTACAGTTTATTTCAATATAACTTGGCACACAAGATATACATACATTTTTTATCGGTTTTTGAAAAACGGTGTTGCTGTGGTAACTAAAAATAGAAATTTCTGTGAAATTCTTTCATGCTACTTCTCCTATTTTGGTCTGATTTCAATATAATTTGACACACAAGTAAAAATGTGTATCGGTTTTTGATTTCGATAAACGGTGTTGCCGTGGGAACTAAAAATAGAAATTTCTGTGAAATTTCTTTTAAATGCTACTCCTCCTACAGTTTTGGTCTGAATTCAATATAACTTGGCAAACAAGTAGATTACACTAAGATACATAATTCTGTGTATCGGTTTTTGATTTCGATGAACGATGTTGCCGTGGTTACTAAAAATAGAAATTTCTGTGAAATTCTTTCAAAATGCTACTCCTCCTACAGTTTTGCTCTGATTTCAGAATAACTTGGCACACAAGTAGACTACACTAAGATACATAATTCTGTGTATCGATTTTTATTTCGATAAACGGTGTTGCTGTGGTAATAAAAATAGAAATTTCTGTGAAATTCTTTCAAAATG